AAAAAAACAAAAAGCCACAAATGGGGAGTGTTCCCCAATAATAAAAATATTTATATAGATTTTATAAAAACAAAACAGTCCCGAGATAAAAAAAGTAATTACGGGATTTACGGTTTAGATTGCGGTATGGTGACGTTGGATAACGGCGAGTTTCGTTTATCAAATGTAGCGTTGGTTGATGTCCGCGGTGAAATAGTTTTTTATTCGTGGGTGAAAATTGACGAAACCTTACCGGAAAATCTGGCCAAATCGACGATTGAAAATATCAAGAATGCTAATATGACTTTTGAAATGGTTCAACAGAAATTATTGAAAATAATATCTGCAGAGACCATTTTGATCGGTCATGGTTTGGAGAATGATCTGAGAATTTTAAAAATGATACATTACAATGTAATTGATACTTCGTTATTATTATCTTATAAAAGCGGATTACCGTACAAATATAAAATACAAGATTTGGCCAGATACTTTTAAAAACGGGAGATTGAATCGGGAGTCCACTCCTCCGTTGAGGATGCTGCCACATTTATAAATTTGTTATTGTACCGGCTTGACCACGACGGTTTTAATGGGGATGTAATAGAGAGTGCAGAAAAAAAAATAAAAGAAATAAAAATCACAAACGAAAATTCTAAAGAAAAATTAATAGAGATCAAAATGATAAAAAAAGAGATTGAAGCATCAATAGAGGAAAATGAATTACAAATTGTTAAATAAATTTTCAAATTTCAACAGTCTCAACAACAATAAATTTGCACCAAAAATGGTTTTGCAAAGTTGTTAATGTCTTATGAAGTGATTTGATTAAATATTTAACATCACCATCGTAAACAACGACATTTTAGAAAAATTGGCAAATAGAAAATGTCGCCACATCAATGGATTTATTATTGTATCGTCTTTATCACGAAGATTTTAAATAATATGTTATAGAAAACGAAACCAAAAAGATAAATGAAATAGCAAAAAAAAAAATAAATGAAAATTAAATAGAAAAATTAAAAGAAATAAAAATTTAAAAAAAAAAGAGAAGAAGGAAAATAAATTAAAAATAGTTATATAAATTTTCACATTTCACATTTCACATTTCAACATTCTCAACAAAGGAAAAAAAGATTTTAAAATTATTAAAATAACTAAAATCTACTTTCTGAGATATATATATATATATATAAAAATATGAAATATACAGTAGTATTGTATATTATAGTAAATATTATAAGTACTATTTTATTRTGTAAATATTAAATGTCTATTTTGTTAGGATATTTTTCTGTTTTCTCGTATTGGTCTGTAAAACAATTGTTTATTTATATATCCGAAATTTTCATACRAAACAATTGTAATTGAATTCATATTTGTAAAACGATTCGGAATAATGATATAAAGTATTAAGAATTTAACTATAAGTATCGTTAATGTCTACCAAGAGAAATGAAAATTGTTATATTTATTAACTTTTATATTAATATTAATTAATTAATTATAATAGTTAATTGTAGTTTTACAATAATAGTAAATAGGTTAGTTTGTAAATAAATTTTGATCAATTTTATATATTAACAAGTATTTTACAACCTCTCTTGTGAAGTATGTTGTTGTTTTGACTTTTTTACATTGTATAGAATCATAAGAACAACCAAATATGTAAATAAAGTATTTTTGATATTCATTTTAATGTATTGTATAGTCGCTGTTATTATTATTATTATTATTAGTTGGCGTTAGAAACTCGAAAGTTCATTGCCGCAAATACCAAATGCCGCCATTGTTACCGTCCCTGAGCTCGATCCTTCTATTCGCGGTCTTCTTATCCTATTTTTTTCAGATCTCTTCTAATATTATCCTCCCATAAGTATTAGGCATATTCTGAACTTTATCGGTGACCATTTTGTTTTTTTCCACGCTTATTTGTAGCTCCAGATCTTTTGTATTATCTATTAGTATTTTCGCTTTATTAATTAATGACTCTTTAATATCTCCTAGCAAAGCAATATCGTCCACGTATGTCAGCAATTGCATTGTCCCGTTCAACTGCAGACCATCTTTACTTTTTTGCAGATCTTTGACAGCAAATTACAGTAATAAATTTTATAATTTTTACAAATAATTTAATATTTGATAAATATTAAATATTAAAAATAAGAAAAATCTATTAAAATATTCAAATAATTGTTTAATTAATCGAGAATAATGTATATTGTTATTAAAATGAATGGAACTTATGTTCGGAGAACCATCCTACTCAAAATTCACCTTCAGACTGACAAGTTGTCCTATGTTGTCAAAATTCTTATATTGCATCTTGCTTATATGACTTTCAAAACGTTGCGCATGTCATCTACGAGAAAAATATTCCTAATAAAATAAATGTAAGTTTATAACGTTCTAATTTGTACATTTTTTTTTTTTTCATTCTAATGTAATTGTTTTGACTTTTTTTCCACAATGATGACTACGAGGTTCAGATTTCCATTTAAAAGAATTTTTTAATAAAAATTATTGTAATATTAATAGTACATAATGTTTAATTGTTCAAATAATATTCGTAATAAATAGAATTATATGATTATTATATTTAAATTTTAGCATTTTTTACATTTTCATGTATGAATCAAAATTTTGACGTCGTTTTTTTTCTAATTTTTTATAATAATTAAAATATTTCGATGATTCAAATAGTTTTCTATCGTCAGAAAAATGAAAGATTTGTAAGAGGAACACATGATGATACAAAAGGTAGTAAAAATAATAAAAAATGTCGATAAGACGATTAGTGATCTGATGGTAACTTATCTTAAGAGTTACAACTATGACTTACTTACCGATAATGTTCGACTATTTTGTTTAAATAAATAACAACTAATCAAGGATAATATTTTGATTATTTAAAACTTATTACGAATTATTTTATTTATGTTTTATGTATTATTCTAACCTATATTTATATAATTCGTAATCGTTACTCTTAAGATAAGTTACCATCAGATTTCTAATCATTTATAATTCCTGTATTTCAATCGGATGTAACTTGCATTATTATCAACGAATAAAAAACCTCAATAGTAATGAAACTGACTCTACTCCGTTACTTCCTTTGTCAAAATTGTAATTTTGTAGAGTGCATAATTTTGACAGGTACATTCATTAACAAAAATTTTTATGCAATTAAATAATTCTTATTAAATCAGTGTAAGTGTGTGTGAATTTGAAAATAAACGATATGTAAAATATATATTATATTAATTTATCAACGTAGAAACTTCTTTTTTATCAAAAGATTTATATATTAAAAATAAATTATTAAATAAATCTTTCAAATACATTTAATTTGTCATGATATTTTAATTTGATACGATAGAATATATTTTGAATGAATTGAGTGTTTTAAATTTAGCGCCATATTACACCATCTATAGAAAAATTAATAACGATTATCGATAGTGATTTTTTGAATGTTATTTTTAAATTTGTACACAACTTCATGCAATATAATTCAAATTCTCCGTAATAATAATAATAATATTATTATTATTATTATTATTTATATAATGTATTTAATTTCACCTATTTATAAATAAATATTTTACTTATAATTCGTTTTAATCAAAACAATAACAATATTTTTGCTTATCAAATAATTTTGTACAAAATAGAAAAATAGAAAAAAATGTCTAGACGTCAGAAAATGGGAAAAAAATATGGAAAAATGGGTAAAGGTCGTACATCTTCACCGACAACAATACCACCACCACCATCACGTCAACAAGGGTGAGTAATTATTCTACGTAAAAAGCTTACTAAACTTAATTAAAAAAAGATATGTTACTATAAAAAGCACATTTTACGCGATATCGTGCAACGAATTTAGAAACTTTTGCAATATTTGCGTACAAACGAATTTCGACGTATTAGAAAATAAAATGACGTTGATTAAAATAACCGATCGATTATTGAAACAAATAAAATTATTGCGAATTTTTTTTATTGAATATTTATCAATTTTAAGAGAAAAGGATCGATAATCACCGATATGAATTTCAAAATTGCCGCCATATTGCGCGTCAGTCCATTTCCATTGTTTCCCTATTTGTTCGCGTGGCATCTGGAATTCTCGCGAAATATCTACTACGCATGCGCGTCGACATTGACTGTTAATATATCGCGAATTGCGTAACAGATTTTATTCCAAGGGAATAAAATTCGTCGTTGTAACAGTGGGTTGGTATTAAGAAGTGAAACGTTATCAAGCGAAGACGTACTTTAATCTTGTGCTCACAAAAAAAGTTTAGAACCTAAAAAGAGACAAATACAAAATGCCACGACGTGGACGAGCAGCGGGTCCTCCACCGAGGACGTAAGTTTTAATCCTTTTAATTCTTTTTTTTATATTTTCATACTAAATTTGTCATACTCATCTTCATCCGTTTATATAATATTTCAAGCAAATTCAATTTTATATTTAATATTGCATCACATGATCACAAGGTTTACTTGTGACGCAGAATAATTGCATTATGATATAAAAAAAAACAACAACAATAAATAAAGAAATACGTTAATCCATTTAAAAAAAAAAAAAAAAACCAGAAGTCTTTTAAATGTCCACCATTTTTAAATAATTTATTGAAATATCTCTTCATTTTTAAATGAATTTTTTTGTCAATTCTTTTCTTTTTTATTGCAGGGTAAGGCCATCATCGCCATCAAGGTTCTCAGCACCTCCAACAAAAGCTGCAGCACCTCCAGCACATGCACCAGCATCAACACCGATGGTCGCTCAACCGGCAGCCCAACAGCCATCTCTTATGGGACAAATGGCTGCTACTGCTGGTGGTGTAGCCATTGGTTCAGCTGTTGGTCATACCATTGGTCACGCAGTCACTGGATTGTTCAGCGGTGGTTCTAGCGAGCCAGCAGTTGCACCAGCTCCAGCTCCTGTTCAAGCTCAAAGTTCACCAATGTCTACACCTGCAGGCGGTGCTTGTGCCTGGGAAGTCAAACAATTCTTAGAATGTGCTTCTAATCAATCAGATCTTTCTCTTTGCGAGGGTTTCAATGAAGCTCTTCGTCAATGCAAATCTGCTAACAGTATGTACCTTTAAATATTATTATTATTATTATTGATGATTGAATTGAAATGAATTTGGAATATTTAATACGTGTTTTATTCTCTTTTCAGATATGATCTAAATCTGGGTCTAAATTTAAATAAATTGGCAGTATATAAAATATTATTTAGAAATTTTGTTTAGAAAAACTTATCTTTCTTTTTTCATAATCTGTTTTATCGATCAATGGTAATATAATTTAACGTTATAATATATATATACATATATTATATAAAATAATTGTGCGATTTGTCTGAACTACGTTTTATCCCTGTCATATATGGAATATAAAACAAAATTAGTATTACATAGTATATTTATAGTCACAATTTAGAGAGACAAATTATAATGCAATAAAATATAAGTTGTTCTGTCGTAATAATATGTTTCCCCTTTGCTTTTTTTTTAAATATCTTTTACAAATATAATTTTTTTAGTTTCCATGTACACATATGACTATTATCAATAAATAAATTCATCATAATTGAATCGATGTACAATAGTTTATTTCCTTTCAAAAAAAAAAAAACAAAAACAAAATCCCTAAACATTAAATAGAAATAAATTTGTATAAACCTGATATTATAAATAGTTCAACGACAAATTCTTGGAATATTTGAAAATATGGCGGGAACAATTGTTGGTTGTGTAGCTACGATGATTTGTCACAATTCAAATTATATTTTAATCAAAATATCGCAATTGTGTTTAGAAAGAAATTTGTTTTTTTTATATCACAGGATATGGTAATTGATGATCAAATTTGTGATCGTAACGAATCAATTTTATCTCACAAATCTATAATAAATAATTCCGTTAACAATCATCCCTGCAGATACGAAGAAGAACAAATTTTAAATTGTATACAAAATCAAACGGTTTTGCACAAACATGTGAATTGATTAAAAAAGACGTTCATTCATTGCAAACATAAATATAACAATAGTATGATTTTAATAGGACACATACATTTTTTTTTCTTAAATTTTGAAATCCCTTGTTGTTGTTGTTGTTGTTGTTGTTGTTGTATTATAAAAACATAGAGATTAACGAACAAACATAAGAAACAAGAAATATATAATTAGTACCAATTTTGGCACACAATTTATCATCAATACATTAAAATATATAATTCAAGGAATTAAATAGATTATTATATTACTATATATATATATATATGTATGTGTGTATGTATGTATGTATATATATTATTAATATAACAAATGCCACTTAAGTAACATAAACCATTTTTTTTTTTTTTTTACAGATATTAAATGAAGATGAATGATCATGTTTGTTGTTGTTGTTGTTGTTGATTGGTTGATTGCCATATATGAAAACTTATGAGAAAAATCTAATTCTACGATTGTATTTCTATATAAATAACAAAAAAAAACAAACAAACAAATAATTATTATTTTTATTGTACGTTAATTGTTATTTTCTATTTTTTTTTTTTTGAACTAATTTTTTTCTACTTTCTCTTTGTATATATCTATATATATATATATATACTGTAGTTTAAAAAATTAAATATTTTTGTTGTATTTTTTTTTTGTTTTTCCCCATTAAATTACCTTACATTGATAATTGTGATATAGAAGGCAGTTTATATTATTATTATTTTTGTTGTTGTTTTTTTTTTCTTCTTTTTTTTTTTTTTTTAGGTATACTACCAAACTACGCAAAATTGTAAAAAAAAGAAAAAAAAGAATTAACATAGTTCAATGGTTAATTTTTGAAAAATACAAATTAGTATTGCTACTATTATTATTAATAGTAAATGATTCAATAGTAATAAGTAAAATTTATTTCACAAAAATTCATGTATTCTACAATATTATTGATGAATTTGTTTTTTTCTTATTTCTTTTCTTTTCTTTTTGTTATCAATGACGCAGAGAGAGAGAGAGACATGTTATCGAAAATGCATTGTCCAGTTTGTATGAATCATGAATTTAAAACTAAAGCTCTGTGATTATCTACAAATTATTTCAAATGTAAATTGAAGATAAATTGTTTACTAAAAAAAATTCGACAATTTGTGGGGTTTTTTCTTTTTCTTTTCTTTTTCTGTAGTGCGCTTTGAAGAACAAAAATGTTAATAATTGTAAAAGCTTTTCATAATATTTGGTTCTCAAGTGTTAAACAAACAAACAAACAAAAACAAAAAAGATACAGTCAAAATCGTTCGCAAGCTTAATGTTATAAATATGTGTGTTTTTCTCTTTTTTTTTTTTTTTTGGTTTGCTTTTCTTGTCTTTTTTTAAGGAAAAGATATATATTTATATATATTACTATTATAATTTACGAAGAAGAATAAGAATAATTAAAACAAAATCGATAATAATTCTCAGATCTGTTATAGTTAATCATCAATGAAAATTGTTAATCTAACGAATAAAATAAACAGATTACAATTTTTTGTTTTTGTTTTGTTTTTTTGAAGAATAAGATTAAACAAAGCTATTGTATACAATGTGTGTTTCAGCGATAATAGTCATTGTAATATAGTAAATAGTATTAATAGTAAATAGTAGTAATAGTAATAGTAGTAGTAGTAGTAGTAACCTCTTAATTACACCAATAATAAATGATTTATGAACATATTTTTATTAACTTAATGCGTTCTCTGAGATGGGGGTGTGGTTTTCTTTTTGAACAAAAGGGGAGAGAGGGAGAGAGGGAGAGAGAGAGTGGGGGCAGTTAAATGTGCGAAATAAAACATATGGTAGACTATCTTTTTTCTGTCTTTAAGACACGCATCACCATAAACCCAGCAACGGTAGCTGCTGCTATTCCCAAACCAGCTTTCCACCAAACTACGGAATCTTGTTGTATCAGCCCAAATTGATTTAAATGTCTGTAACGTAGAATAATACAAATTTATACGATATATTTAATGAAAAATTGAAATATTATTAATATCTTACGATATTAGTATTAACACAACCCTCACCACACATTCCGATATTTGAAAAGTTATAGAAACATTTATGTGAACAAATTTTGTTCTCTTGCACTTATACAGCTACTTACACTCATGATTTTTATCATTTATTCATTAAATATAAATAAACAAATATATATATATGATTATTTGAATTAATCATGTGATAAAATGAAAAATATGAATTTGAATTATATTAAATCAATAAAAGTAATTATAGAAATAAAATTGAATGAAACATTGATATCGGAATGATTACACTTATGGCTGAAAAATATTAAAATATATATATATGATATGATATGAATAAATCATTAATTAAGCACGATTAATAAGATTATATAACATTTATATTTTTCTCTCTTTTTTTTTTTTTTTTTTTTTTTTAGTTATATTAGGATTTTAAATTATTATTTCTCTCAGTGTTGTGGAGAATATAGCAAAAAAAAAAAAGAAACAAATCTGTATAATGAGATTGATGAACAATTTCAATGATATTAGTTCATACGAAACATATATGACATGCTTCATGCTAAAATAAAGAATTACATTAATTCAAAGATTGAGATCATGCTATGCTTCGGAAACTATAATACAAAAGAAACCTTGTCAAAGAATTCCACCATTGAGTGGGTGAGGGTTTGACAAACAACATGTGGACCATATGCCTTAAAGGGCTGAAAACAGTATGCGGAGTCATTGTTATGTGAATTTGAATTCGTGCTAATGCAACAACTAATGTTTGAGCAAATCGACTCCAACATACAATCATTAATGTTGACTAATAAACTGATAAGTGAACCTTTTATTTGGAAAGTGGCCTAACTTCATTTATGTTTGAAAGGTTTGCGTTTCAATGCAATTCAAAATATACGTACAGGATACTAACGAGTCATACTGCTAGGGATGTTAAATTTATAGTTTCTATTAAAATAGTGGCAATTATTAAATGAATAATATGCGTTTTTTTACCAAGAATGAAGTTAGGCCACTTTCTAAATTGATAACCAGATTCATTATTAAATTTGAAGGAGCCCAAGTCCATTCAACATAATTTAAGATGCTTCAAATTGAAAAATAAACAATACTCAATTTACTTTACATATCTTTAAAACACTTCAGAAACATTATTTGTGCGATTCAAAAGATTTGTTAACTACATCAATTACAAAACAATTTTTCTGCTCATTTACATTTTGCGTTTGTGAAAGGGATTTGAAGAAATCATGATATTCCGTTGGTATATGTCGTAGTAGGACTATTATGTCCTTGAATTTTGCTGTTGTAATTTGTCTGATATTTTCATACAATGGTGTCAATATAATATTGTCGAACTTTTTTGGTTTACCCAGATGTGGTAATAAATTCAGGATTTTCAAATGTTCATTCTCATTCATCGATGTCTTATAGAAAATTTAATACGGTTCATTTCTAACAAAATACATTCAAATATATTTTTAATCAGTTTATCGATTCTCCGTTAGAATTCTGTACCCATTTAAAAATTGCTTTTTCTAATAATTTGGTTCATACAAAAATCTTCTTGTTTCATTTCATTTACAATAAAGTTATTACCTTTTTGGATTTTTCTGATAATATTATAATAATCTTTGGGGGTAAATGATAAATAATTGTCTTTTAATGATATTTCTACCACGTCAAAATCTCTATGATTACAAGTTATTACGGACAATTGAAAAATAATAATTGATCATTGGAGTTAGGCTACTTTCAAAAGAAACTTTTTCATCGTTTCATTAATCAACAAATTTACGTGTTACAAAATTTTTTTGAATTTAAATATATAAGTAACAAATTGTTTCATAATAAAAAGATCATGTAAAAATATAACTATTACAGTAGCTAACTTGATTTTTTTGGAAAATGGAATTAGACCACTTTCATAATAAACTTTGTCATCATTTCATTAATCAACAAATTTATGTGTTACAAAATTTTCATGATTTTAAATATATTAGTAACAAATTGTTTCATAATGAAACGATCATATAAAAATGTAACTATTACGGTAGCTAACTTGATTTTTTTGGAAAATGGAGTTAGGCTACTTTCAAATTAAACTTTGTCATCATTTCATTAATCAACAAATTTACGTGTTACAAAATTTTCATGATTTTAAATATATTAATAACAAATTGTTTCATAATAAAACGACCATATAAAAATGTAACTATTACAGTAGCTAACTTGATTTTTTTGGAAAATGGAGTTAAGCCACTTTCAAAATAAACTTTGTCATCGTTTCATTAATCAACAAATTTTTGTATTATAAAATTCTCATGATTTGTAATATATAATTAACAAATTGTTTCATAATGAAAAGATCATGTAAAAATATAACTAATACAGTAGCTAACTTGATTTTTTTGGTAAATGGAGTTAGGCCACTTTCAAAATAAACAACTCCAATGTGTATTATAACAAAAATAACAATAATAACAATAATAATAATTATAATACGTGCAACGTAAAAGAAAAAAAAGTAAATATATATATATATATATATATATAAAAAGCGTTATATATCTAGCCAATGTGAAATCTAATACGTGATTCACGATTTGCTCATAAGCATGTATAAAAGTTTAATGTTTATAGAGAAAATCCAGACCAACCTGTGTCTATAAAATAATACCCACGCTGGTTGAAAGCGGCTAAACACGAAATTTCTTCTTGTTAGTTTCTAACATTCAATTTTAATTTCATTCGCATTTATAAATTTGATATACTTCAATTCTAATTTCTTTTTTTTTTTATCTTTAGTAAAAACCAATTTCAATTTTGAATATTAAAAGAAAAAAAAAAAAAGATTACTTTGCAATACCGTAAATATATATATAGTACCATTAATTTAACACGAATTCAAATCGTATGTTTTTTTAAATTGCTTTAATCATACTTTTTGTTTGTTTGTTTTTTTTTTATCTTAAATATTGAATATTTCAAATTCTTCTTACTTATATAAATAANATTTCATTCGCATTTATAAATTTGATATACTTCAATTCTAATTTCTTTTTTTTTTTATCTTTAGTAAAAACCAATTTCAATTTTGAATATTAAAAAAAAAAAAAAAAAAAAAAAGAATGAATACATTTTGAAAATCATATTGAACGAATGATAAATAAAAATTAACAATTATATACTTTGTTTCTTTTTTTAAATTGCTTTAATCATACTTTTTGTTTGTTTGTTTTTTTTTTATCTTAAATATTGAATATTTCAAATTCTTCTTACTTATATAAATAATTATTAAATGATTAAACTTACGGAAATGCTGCCATTGTAGCCAATTTGACGAATATTTCTCTACGTACAGCCCTTGAAACGCTATAAGGTTGTGGCGGCATCAACTTGTACTTACTGCAAAAACTTGCCGGTTGTAATAAATATTCTTGTTTAACTTCAGCAAGATCACTTTTATTAGCTATTATTAATACCGGTATTTTACTATCTGCGAAATATTTCTGTAAAACAATATTAACAATTATTATTAATATATCAAAATTAAATTAAATGAAACACAATATAATATAGGAAAACATTTGTTAAATACTTACGATATAAATTCGTGCAATATATTCAAATGATTTAGGATTAGCTGTATCGTAAACAAGAGCTGCTGCATCGCATTGTATTTGTGTAGGTGTTAATGCATCTTGAACATTCATTATATTAATATCCTTTAAAATTATTGTCTTTTCTTGACCATATACATGTACCGTATTGACAGTAACATGAGTGTTTAAAGGTATTACATCATCCGTTAATTTCTATAAAATAATATTTTTAAATGTATATAAAACACAATTAGAATAATTGTGATTAATACAAAACAAATGATATAAAAATACCTCTAATTTAGGATCGACAAAACTTCTGCATAGAGTTGTTTTACCGCTATTCTTTTGTCCAATAACATGACACGTGTAAACATTTCTACTTGATTGTTTTTTAGCTAAATCTAATTTTTTCTCACGTGTTACTATTACAGCACTCGTTTGACATTCGTTATTATACATATTGTATCCAAGATATGCCATATATTCTAAAGTTTTTTTAACATTCGTAATAGTCAATAATGCCCATTGACACATATAGCCTTGAAATGTGATCCAACCTTTTTCGTTGGTTGGTACAGTATGCTTGTATTCATCACCCCATGGTGGACTTAAACATCTTGAAAATAACGAATCTACTTCTGGTGGTGATAAAGCTCCATCACGATCTCTGTCGTGTTGCATAAATAACAGTGTTAAGAATTCTTGTCCCTTGTGCGATAATTCAGTTGTACAACCAGAAGGAACTTTTAATCTAAATATAAATAATACACAATGACAAATATTTCAAACAAAATGAATGATACAAATATTATGTGTCAATTATTTCGAACAAATAATTTTATTCACTTACTGAGGATGTATGTATTCTTTAGACATTTGTAATTCATTATCGTAACCAAATTTCCTTAATACGGCCCATGTCGTTTCATTTCTTCCACGTTGAATAAATAAACATTGGAGATACATAAAACCTAATCAAATGACAAATTTTCTTGTTAACTTGTTCAATTCTTTCCTATAAATTATCTTTTGTTTTATATATATATATAAAGTATACCTTTCATAGTCACACAACGATTACAAATTCCATCTTGAATATTTTTTGATAACACTGCTTTAACATCTTCCAAAACTTGAGGTTGTAAAGGTGTATTAAAGCACCATTGTTGAAATGCATTTAATTCCATGTCATTTAACAGGCCATCGTTATCTAAATCGCATATCTGTTAATAAAGATAAAAAGATTATTTTTAATCAATTTTAATTAACCACAAATATAATAATAATAATCAACTAACCTTAAAAATTCTTTGGAGAGCAGTTTTACATTCTTCCGTAAGCTATAAAAAAGGTATATATATAGATCATAAAGATGTTTTATACATACTTTATGTATTTAATAATTAACAAAATAATGTCAAATAAATACCTCTTGTATATCGTAATTATAAAGAGGAGTAGTTGGATGTAATACAGCTTTTTGTGCATAATAAAACGTTTCTGATACATTTTGTAATGTTTTAGCTGAACACTGAAATAATTCATACAATTATGCGTTTACATTTATTACTAAATAGTTCAAATATTTGTTTACCTCTATACAACTTTCTATTTCTGAAAATTCTTTCATTATTGGATATACAGCCTGTAAAAAGAATAAAATCATTTGAAATATATTTATATACATATAAAACTAAATATACAATTAAGCCTTTGTACTAAACAACAATTTGTAAACATGGTACACTTAGTTGACACATTAAATTACAGTACAAAGGTTTAATAAACATTTAAACATTTAACACACATACTTCTATAGTAGAATAATCAACCAAATCAATTTTGTTTCCAACAAGTACAACTGGACATCGGTTGCTGGTTGAACAACGTCTGATGAGAGGTAACCAATACGTAGCAGCTTTGTCGAGAGTATCTTCATCTTCGACTGAATAAACAACACATATTACATGAGCTTTTTGTATTTCCTCTGCTAACTGATCATCCGTTTGTTCTGCAGCTAAACATTAAATAAAAGTGAATAAATGTTAACTGTGATAAACTGTAAAAGTGAAAGGTTAACTATCAATTATATTTACCTGAATAATCAACGATATGAGTTGGTACTTGTTCAGGTGTGACATCGGCAGGTATGGTGATTTCTTCCGCTTTACTTGGTACATCTTCAGCATATTCTTCGCTGACAAGAGACAATATCAAAGATGTCTTACCAACACCGCGTTCACCGATCAACAAAATTCTAACGCTACGTTTAGGTATCACCACACGATGCACCATTTTTGCTATATAATAATAAATAAATCCTCTTCCCTTTAAACCCCTAAATTTTATTGGTTAACATTTTCTTACTGCTATTTATCATCCTTTAAACTCACATAACCTATAAACCAATCTTTCATTCAATCGTTTGTCTATACTTTAAACGTTCACCTCTTCTTATAGAATTGATTCTAAATATATATATATATATATATAAATGTATACATATATATACGCGTCTATATATATATATATATATATATACAATAAAGTTCAATATAACATTTTACTTGTTTCTTTGATATTTTTGTATTAATTATTAATCCTCATATTCCGGACAAATTCTTGCACTTAAAAATCCTCTTCTAAGGTTGTAATTTTTTACAGACGTATATACACACACATATACATATACATATATATAATACACAAGTAAGTAAGTAAGTAAGTAAGTAAGTAAAAGCAAGTAAGCACGCACGCACGCACGTATGCACGAGAGAACGCAAACCTCGGAAGGGGGAAGAAAAAAAAAACGTCAGTTTCACCCGCGGCGACTGAACTTGCGCTTCGAGGGTGGCCGTTTCAAGGTTACGTTCTCCTCTCTCGCACAATTCGAGAGTGATGATACATATATATATGTATATAATATAACGCACGTGCGCGTGACAAAATCATCATGTTCATAGGGTAGCATTCAACCGTTACCGATCTATTACTTCTTCGATTTCATAAATTATGCAATCAAAGGAAATTTATTAAATTTAAATATTCCTCTTTATGACGATGATTAAGGATGACGAAGATTTCATAAACTTAATATCCACAAATGTTTTATTCCCAAAATTTATCAGTTGATTCATCTCACGAGTTTACTCTTCTAAATCTATTTCTAAATCTAAAATAATAATTTATTTATATTAGAAAGATTGTTGGTGTTATTTTTTTTTTTTTAATTTTGATAATATAAACTTATTTATTTAATAATTAAATGATTATTATTACCAACTTTTTTTTTTGACTCTTTAGGTTATAATTATTAATTTATACTACATATTTATTCTTTATTTATTTAAATAAGATAATAATGTAAATAGAGTAAAGAATAAAAAATAATGAAAATGTTATTTCTGATGATTTAAAAGAATCATTGGATACTTACATATGTACATTGTGTATATATATTACATAATACGTAAAGAATAAAATCCATACACATCCATACAATCTTTCTTCTGATTATCATATTTCTTGATAATTTTATCATGTTATTTAATTATTAAAATTCTTCGGTATTTATAATTACATTATCAATTATAATATTTTCAAAATTTTCTTTATAGTTTTCAAAAAATATCTTCACTATATTGTTTTTTAAGAGAATGTCGATAACTTACCATCCGAGAAAACGGTCTGTTATTATAGCAGTGTCGGTAAATTATCTTCCGAAATATCGGTCGATAATTGAATAATATTAATTTGTTTCAAACTACTGAAAAAAACAGAATAAAAGATTTTTCTTATCGAATTTTTGAAATATCATTAAATTACAGAGAATAATATTACGAAAAAAGGAATAAAAGTTTTAATTTTTCTTAATAAATATGAACATTGACACGTAAAGAAAAACGTAGAAAAGGTATTTCCAAATGTTCAGGAAATATGGTAATAAGGAAGTATGGACGGTTAAGGTAAGGAGGATAGATACCAGGAGTCCGAACGATATAGAATTTTTCACATTTTTTGTGGTAATCATTTCTTGATCCAGATCATAGTTCTCTTTTTTGCCACTGGCTGCGCAAGTATTCAGAACGTACTAGGAATCCTGTAGGAGGGATGCGCCATTCATATTCAGCTCATGTGCCATTGGCTGAAAATTTTGTGGGACCGCTTGAATTTATAATAATTTTTTCGTCTAACCTATTCTATTTTAATATAAATTTTTAATTATCATTAAATATAGTTCATTTTTTTTCTCTATTTGATGCAATTCATTATTTTATAATTATTTCAATGTTTGAATCATTCGCACGCAAAATCGAGTTCCGGTCCCCCAGCAATGTACATGGCGCATCCCTCCTATAGGATCCCTAGAACGTACCGATACTATTATTATTATTACACATAAATTAAATATAAAATATTAATTTATTTTTTTAGCATTATTTTTATTAAAAAATGAAAAAGTGTTGTGCCGTTTATGGTTGCCTTAGTGGCCGAAAGGCAAGTGAGAATTTAGGAAAAGTGGCTTTATTCAAAGCACCAAAAGTGAATAACCTCAAAGTAATATTAAAAATTTTATGTTAACAAATAATTGATTATTACATTTGTGTAGTTTTTAAATAATATTAATTCCACATTTCTTAAAATATTTTTTTTTTCAGATCTGTCAATAGCAACAAGACTTCCCGCGTAAGTATTTAAACGAGTACTCTGTAAAATCAGCGCGCCCTATCGGGCAAAATAACCCCTAAATTGATACCAATCCTTCCAATATTATTGGTGGTTGATATAGGGTGGAAGTGACGTAGAGCTGCTTTTCTTTAGTATTCCCCTGTCAGGTCCGTTCATTCTTCTAAAAGGATATATGAAAGAATTCACGAAGAAAATTCTTTACTTGAAGATCTGATCTACACGAGTACGGATCGCTAACTACAAAAATCGTGTTTCACCTTAAAGAAGTTTATTCATTTCCAAAATACTCGTGGAACAATTAATCAGGTATAATATATATATTTTAATATTTATTTAATGTATTTTTAATATAACTATTAATTGAATAATTTTTAAAATGGTCAATTAATGTATTATTAATGTAACTATTAATTGAATAATTTTTAAAATTGTAAATTAATGTATTATTAATGAATGAAATTTGATTTTCAAATTATTTGTAGCTGTAATATCCTAATATTGTTTATTTTCAGTCAACACTTTCTCAACAAGGACATAATTTCTTATTACATCTACGTTAAATATATTACGCATTATTAACGATGGCAGAATCACGGTAAGTCCTTTTTTTCTTGTTTTGTTTCCTTTTTCTATTTTTATACTTAAATAAATAACTATTAATATATACAACGTTTCATTTTGAAAATCAAATCAGAAAGTAATAACTAAATTAATAAAACACGCGTGGTTTTTTTTTTTTTTTTTTTTTAATAATAAATAAAATTACACGTGGTTTTTTAAAAATTATAAATAAAAACGCGTGGTTCTTAATCATAAATAAAATTATATATAACATATATATATATATATATACATACACGTGGTTTTCATAAATTGTAAATAAAAACACGTGGAGTTCTTACTAATCATAAATAAATAAATAAAAACGTGATTTTCGATAAAACACATGCGTAGTTTTCACATTAATTATAAATAAAATTATATATAT